GTGGGAGTTGGGAGTTACTACTATATAGTATCATCTGATTCCTAATGCCAAAATTTATAGGAACAAACTTCTGCATCTAATGCTAATTAAGTTAGAAATAAGGCACAATATATAAAACTTGGCAGTTGTTTTCATCCTCTCCCATATATTTTGAATTCTTTAGTCTCCCCTAATTAACCCCACAGACAGAGACACACTCCCATCCTCAGAGCGGATCACACTCGAGTGATTTCAAGACTTGCAGCATCACTTGCACTCACTGCTTGAGATCATCACCGCTCAGATCTCCAGATTTGTTGCACTGCAGTTAAAACACCTCTTCTACTCCTGAAAAACTCCAGTGTGTCCGCAGGGATAGGGCCCACACTGCTGAAATTCAGCAGCAGATAAGATGAAACTTTCTGAAGTTAAACATAACTTTGATTCCCGTTCTCTAAATTTAAAAACAATATGTATCCTTTAAATATTGACTTTCACCCACTGCATCTGGGCTAACAGATGAATGTAATCATAAGCATTATTCTCTCCTTCTCTCCTTCCACCTCTTACTTGTAAAAGATTAATCAACCATTTTATGGTCTAATTTAGGTGCCTAATTAAAAACAGAGTTCAACACATACGACACCATTTTGCTAATAAATCCTGACAGGTCTTCTGCTCTGTTATATGTAAGTTCTCCTTCAAAAAGCGAGATTGATATTTTTTGAGACCCAGCTGAATTTATAAAGGTTTATGTGTGTCGCTGTGGGACGACACGTTGCATCCTCCACCAAAATGACAGAACTCCCTAAAACGAAACAGCTCCCAAAAATTATTTCCTCCTCGCCAGATCTTATCCTGCACTCATTTCACTAACTGCTGAGGGATGGCAACATTTAAAACCGAGACATAAACCTAATCGGACTTGCCGGGTGGGAGTTTGAAGACTACAAAGAGGTTACAATTCGTAACTTCACATCTCCCATCTAGCTTCAAAGTTTCCATCTCTGCTCCTTTAGCATTCCTGTAAACACTCGGTAGAAAGACATATTCAAAATATTCTTGATAAAGGAACTTCAAGCAGTAAAAGATGAAAAGACTCGGAAAAGGATGAAAAGATACGGAAACTCGATGTGTCCCGAGCACTTCTCCTCCGCGCTCACCACCTCCCGCTCCGCCGAGCCACACACAGACATCCCGCACGGGGCTGCGCCTCGCGAACCACTCAGCATCACATCCATCCTCGCAGGATACAAGCTAGGAACGTGTAATTTTCCAATACTCCAAAGGGTTCACCCTGTCCCCGCAGCGCTCCGGGCTGGCGATCGCAGCCCCGGGGCAATCGCGATCCCGGGCGATCGATCGCGATCCGCGCGATCGATCAGCGCCAGGGCTGGTTACGGGGTAGGAGGATGGAGTTAAAGGAGTGAGCAGGGAAGTTTTCCCCGGAACGCAGAGCTGCAGCCCGGCAGTGCCCGCGGCCGCTGCGCTCCCGGCTCAAAAACCTTCCAAACGGCTCAAAAACCTTCCAAACGGCTCAAAAATCGCCAAGCGGCTCAAGTCCCTTCAAACGGGTAAAAAAACCCAACCCAAACGGGTCAACCTTCAGCCCAACGGGTAAAAAACCCAAACCAAACAAACCCCAAAAGGGTCAAAAAAACCCCAAAAAAAACCCCAAATCTGCGGTAGCCGGGCGCAGCGCTCCGACCAGCCCGAGGGTGTCGGGACACCCCAACCATCCCTGCCCAAACCCCGAGCCGGATGGAAAACAAACACTCCGGCAAAAGCTCTGGAAGCACAGCGTAAAAACAGCGTTTCAAAAATATGACATTACTAGTTAACCTTTCTATCAAGATTACATCTCAAGGTTCAATCCGGTTCGCTTAAAACCTACAGCCTCCCGGGCTAACGGCGAGCGCAAGTTCCGTGCTGGGCTGAATCTATATTTTTAAGGGTTGGTTTGTTGTGTTTTTTTTTAAGGGGGTTTAGGAGAGGAGGAGGAGAGTAGCGTTTAGGATGGTACTCTCATTTCCCTCCGGGGGTTCTCCCCGAGCTCGGGGCGATCGCAGCTCCGCACGGGGCTGCGAGACAGACCGAGAGGGATGATGATTCTCCTCCTCCTCCTCCTCCTCTTCCTCCCGTCCCATCCCGTACCTGTACCAGGCGAGTCCCCGCTCGTAGTTGCGGTCGAAGAAATGTGGCTCTGCGCCCACGGCTCGCACGTCGGGGTGCACCCGCAGGAACTCCAGCAGCGCCCGCG